ACACCACCACCTTTCTGCCCCCAGTCACCATCGATATTGAACTCATACATCCAAAACGGGCGTCAGGAACCACTCTCTTCTTCTTGCCTATGTGCCCCGCGAGAACGCAACGGCAGCACCTTCAGAACAGCTTCAAGCTCACTCCACCAACCGGATGACATTGGGCCTTCACTCACACTCTCAGAGCTCCTCCCGGACAGTTCAGACAACCTCCCAAACCCACCCCCAACAGGTCAGGATCTTCCGGGCGGCTGCTTCGTGTGAGCCGTCATCCAGGCAACATGGCAGGAACACGCACTCACCAGGAACGTCAAGTTGCTTATGAATGTCTTGGTGATAATATCATGTGTGGGTTTGACGAGGGCTACTTGTGCCAAAAGGCTACCACAAAAAGGGAACGGTCTAACGCATACACGCCCACATGCGTCATCATGCGTCAGAATAGGGTCCCCCAAGCCTTATATGGGTATATAGAAATAGGTGCATAATTACTTCACTGATATATATACACCTTGTTCAGACTAGATGGCTATATCCGGAAACGAATCGATGGCACCAGAAAGTGCCAAAAGCGCACGCGGCAAACCGTGGAAAACAAGATATATACCTATGCATCCTCAAGCATAATAGATGGCATTCCACCCATTCACAGAGTAGACTTGCGCCATCTTCTGCAAAGAACACTGATATAAGTCGTTGATTTTTGTAGACAACCTCTCTGTTAAATTCCAACTGTTTTTCATGTTCTTCTCTTTGAACTGTCTTTCTCTCTCCTTCTTTCATATTCTATCTCTCTCTCTCTCTCCTTCTCTTCCTTTCTCCTTTGCTATCCATTCCTTAATGTCTCCTTTCCCTCTCCTTGGATGCCTTTCTCTTCTTTCCTTTCCTTCATTCACTTCGCCTTTCTCTATCCTTCCCTTGCCTTTCCCTTCACCTTTCCCTTTCCTTGCACTTGCACTTGAAACAGTAACAGAACGCTGCACGATAATAGCCCCGTAGATGGCACAACACTTGTGTGAAACATGATTAGGATAGTTGAGCCAATAGATACTGCCAAGTAGATGGCGCAGCTTGCTGCTTTCAGGGCCAAAAATTTTATGGCGTTCTTTCACGAAACGGATTGTAAAAGTAGATGGCGCCAAACCAATCCCCGAGTAGTACTTTCCCATTCCTTGTCACGATTTTTGCCTAGGATGGCTTGCGCCGTCTGCATCTGGGTTTTTTTGTTCCAGAGGCGTTTTCCCCTACACAATACATGCCTCATTACAAAAACCTGAGCCAAGTTTTCTGACTACAGAGTCTATATATAAGAACAATTGAATTGATCTATTGCGTTGCGCATAGGCGGAATTCTGTCCTGTTTTCCAGCTTCGCGGCTGAAACGTGGAATGCTCACTGCAACTGTCTGCACCTGCTACACTCCTCTTGAAAAGGGGTCGGCGGCACCCGGGCGAAGCCCTTACAATAATTATGTACATAAATGCTTTAACAAAGCGTCGGCGGCCCACATAGCTATTCATAACAGTCAGTTTTTGCACTTTCTTTCCTTGCTGTGATCTAAATGTGGTCACGGCGGTAGGACAAGAAAATAAAAGGGGTCGTTGGGACCTACCTTTTATCTCTGCTTTGGACTGGCTGACCCCATTTGTCCATTTCTTGCCTCCACCAGCGCGATGTACCTGGATGATTGTTTCCTCAGAAAAGCGCAGGTTGAGAGCTGACCACGGTCGCGGTGTCTCTGCACAGCATTCCTCTGGCTGTTTTTTTGAAGTACATGTATATATATATATTTTTTTTGTTTTTTTTTTGGGGGGGGGGTATTTAAATATATATATATACAATGCACCTCGGACAAACCTTGTGAGCCCGAAGGCGGCTTCCTTGGGTCCAGGCACGCCCCTCGTGGGACCTAAGTGGACCAGTGAGTTGCACCGGAAGTTCTCCAGAATCGCCAAAACGCCCCCCAACATTGGGAACGTAGGAATGCCCTGGAATGCCCTCAAGCCCAAACAAGTTGCAATGGCAATCTACAACACGCCAAGTGACTGGGTCCCTAAGCCCTGAGGCTTCCCTCTTTTCTCAGAAACACTATGAAACGCTGCATTTCTCAGGGCTGCACAGTTTGAAGCGCGCCCCTCCAGTGCCTAAGAGTATGTGGCTTAAGCGTGGGAAGCCCGTGACAAACTGCTGGAAACAATCGCATTTCCTCTCGACGTGGTGGGTTTGGGAGAAACTGACAGCACACTTGCACAAAGTCGGTCATGAACATGAAATCAAGTCAATTCAATGCACGGCACATGTACCACCAATCTTCTAACCGAGCCCGAGCTTTTCCTAGGCCAGCTGCGCTCGTTGACCAGGTTGTCACTTACAGCCTGCACAACCTCGTCCTGCGAGACACCTTGGTGCGTCAAGCCGTACTTTCAGCTGCGAACCCACGTGATTGGAGGGCGTTCTGCGCGTTCCGCGGCGGAGTCGTGGTGCCCAAGCCAGGTCCTTGGTGCAAACGCGTGCGGAGTCGTGGTGGACGTGTGTCACGCCTCGGCCTTCACTGTACATATTGGGCGCCTGAGGTAAGAGACCCATAGGATTCGCCTGACTTATAAAGTGAGTGTAGTGAGTCAACCAATTGGGGGGTCTGGAGGGACAGGGTCCCGATTTCCCTACGCACTACATGAAACTGACAAATAATAAGGGCAAGCCAATGTCAAAAATAGTCCCTTTCAGGAGTCGGGATGAGGCATAGAATCTGTTTGACGCCTGGCAAGCTCGCAGCAAAGTCATGAAGGGCACGGCAAAGGCATGCAAAGGCGTTGGCCAAAAGCAGAATGATGTAGCAAAGTCCCATGGTCTACCAAAAGTGCTAGGGATCGCGGAGCAACTCCATCATGGGCCAGTTCTGGCACCGGAGCTCTTGAAAGGCCCATGCCAGGTTTGACAAATGCAGTGGAGTACACTCCAAAGCAATCTGCTTGAAATGACTCCATGCGGCCGGCAAGAGCAATTTTGAGAACCCGAGCTCCATCGTTGGGTGGCGGGTCTATGTTCCACTGGCCCAATTTAGTCCAAGTCGTGCAAATTTAGCTCAACACTCAACACCAGTGAGGGCGCTTGCTTTGGATTTCTGAGGAGCCCACAGCCCACTGCAGCCTGCTGTCAAAGTGTCACCAAGTACCTGCACTGTGGGCCAGCAAGGAGTTAATAGGGCCCGGCCAAGACCATCTATGATTCCTTGCTGTGTTGATGAGGTCTGTCTTTGCCAAATTGCCAAGGGATGAGGGCTTAAAGCACATCTGTTGCAATTGCACTTCCTATTTTAGAAAGAGCCACTGTCATGTCAAGCAAAGACTCTTCTGCTTGTTTTGTTGTGCTAGTGTTCCATTGATGCCTTGAGATTGATTTCATTTGAAGGTCATTCGATTCAGGACATTAAATTGAAAAACAACTTTGACTAGTAGCTAGAAGCTACTAGTAACAGAGGGCATCGCTACTAGGAGCAAGCACGCTACTAGTAGCTCCTGGCCTTACTACTAGTAACAAGTAGCTACCATAAAAGCTTGGAGTGACTTCCCAACCCCCATGGGGGCCATGGGGGCCACGTGCAAAATGAATCTGAGCTGGGCGTCGCACCGGATGGCACCGCAGAAGCTACTGGGCTGCTGTGGCTGAAGCTGCTGCAGCTGATGAAGTGTGCCAGCATTGGGCTCCCAACTGACATCCAACCCTTTCGACCATCATTCAGATTGAAATGATGAACACTCACCATGATATCATGAAAGGTGGCTTCCAGGCTGCCTCGAGCGTGTCTTGCAAAGCAATGTGGTGATCGGTGGGACCCCAAAAAATTGATCGATGAACAATGCCTCCCTCGACATACAAGAACCTCAACATGCATATGCAATGCATGCGTATATTGCAATTGTTCCAAATCACGTGATTAAGGTGTCCTTCAATTGCGTCTCGCAGGTCGCTGTGCCACGGCTATCAGTCTCGCACATTGCGTACAACTGAGGGCCCAAGCCATTTGAGTTGCCCCAGGTCTCCATCAGGTTGGAGAGCTTGATGCACCCAGATCCATCCACTTCAAGCCCGTAGGGTCTGGCAGCACTTGTGTCCGTATGTTATATTACAACATATTCAAGCATGTGACTGTGCCCACTGAATGGCTGCCCAATCCTGTTTTGCTTGTAGCGCCCTAGCTGTGCGAGCGTCTTGGAGATCCATTGTAGCCGCCCCTGCCTCACATTCAACACACCAGCCATCAACCGAGCAAGGATTTGTGTCTACTCCAAATGTGGAAGGCATCGACTTGTATAGATAAACATGCTTTACTGTATATAAACAAGTTATAGGTCTATCATGGTTTATCGTGTTGCCTTTCCTATGCTAAATCTGCCTCAACCTCTGCGGAGGTTAGACCCTCTGTGCCCGGCACCGGGGTGAACGCGAGTGGTCCCAGCGACCCATGGCCCTCAGCAATCACCGGTGGATCAGCAACGATCGTTTCGGCGCATGGAGCGAGCATACGATCGAGCGATCGCGCCGTATGGCGATGTTCGTCGATCACCATATATACATCGTTTTAAGTCAACAATGATAAATCACCCACCATGTGGATCTTGCTGTCGGTTGTTGGCTCCTTCTGGTGGTGTGTGTGTGTGTTTGACGGAGCCTGTTGGGACAAGCTAGCTATCAATGAATCAATGCCCTTGTCTTCCTTGTCAGCGGACATCAACATGTGCATTGAAATGGCACAAACAATCTCATTCGAGGCGTCTGTTCTTTGAGCCTACGATTCACTTTCAAACCTCCAGGCTCTGAGGAAGGCTGCTCCGTGCGCTGCGCGCGCTGCGCCTGGAACTAAACAGCAAAACCTTGAGCCCAGCAGGTTCACAGATCGGGAATGGCATGCTGCGCCGATTGAACCACTGAAATCAGCAAAGCCATTCGTTTGAATATGTTTGAATAAACTAGCCGTGGACTAGCTCGCAGTATTTTTTGATGTCGGAAGCAAGTGCCTATCTCCGCAGGCCTTAAACGGCCCGCCCCGGCATCGGAGGGTTGCGGTCCAAATGACCCGGCACCCCTGATCCATCTCATAATTCTGCCTAGTTTGGGACGAGGGCGGATGGGCAGCACTCTGGTGACATTGGTGAGACTTCGATGCACCAATTTCTGGAATCAAACCACCAGGCTCAGTGAAGGCTGCAAGCAGTCCATCAGCTTGCCTGGCCGCCAAGAAGTTGAGTTTCGAGAATGAACGTCCATACCCCACTGCCAAGAGGCATTCTACGTTCCTGCTCTGCTCCTTATGCTCATGTCTCGAAAACCCTCATGATCAGCATGCCTCGAGCACAGCGATAATTCGGAGTTGCTGATGGACAGGTGGAACCATCTGGGCAGCAGGCATTTCCTGTCAATGCGAGGCCGGCTTGCTGCCAAATGTGTGTGCGGCTGTCTGCAAGTAGCTGCATAAGTGCACCCCAGCCTTGACAAAACACGCTAGACCCTGGGCACAACACGGAATCACCTCAAATGCTCGTAAGCATCAAACGGATTCTGCAGGAACACAAGGTCTTCCCCAAAACGTCTAGCACAATAACAAAGCCGCACTGTGCGTAGGCTGTCTATTTGGACACAAAACTGCATCGGGGCAATGAGATGCAAGGAATGAGGATTTTGTTCAGATGCCTAAACCACAAAAACAATGCACTTGGTACATCAAGCTGCCCATCTTGCATGTGCCATTGCTGGGCATTGCTGCCCTCTGGCTGCAATACCACTTTGGCACAGCACTGGTGGGCGCCTCAAAAAGTGCAAGGGCCAGATCGAGGTCGGTCAACAATGAGCCCCGCGCATGAAGTAGCCTACTTGACTATATAGCTGCATTAAAACAGAGAGACATGGTCAAGTTTGTTTACATTCAGGTCTATCTGGCATAACATTGCGGCGTCAAGAAACTCAGGAGCACCTGCAAATCCTATATACAAACATCCAGAATGTCGAAAACCAACAATGCAGCTGAGATAACTTGCACAGCAAACACAACAGTGTCCATGACCAATCTAAACCTTTCAAAAATCGTTAATTGTGCAATTGGAAGCCACAACACTGCTCAGCCAGGCTAGGGCATTGAAAATTGGATTCGGTTCAGGGATGCATCTGCATGTCCGTGCATGCCCAAACCATTGGGTAATGCCAAGAACAGACCGCACCAGACGTGCAAGCCCACCGTGGCCGATGGCTAGGGCAACGACCTTGGGATCCACTGAAGATGCTTGGCCTTTGTCCTTGGCTCTTTGGACTTCCAACGCAATGGGCTAACCTGCAGGATATGTGTGACAAGGAGCATTGAGGATATGCAGCACTGTGCCTTTTCCATTGAGAAACACCTTGGATGATCAGCAAGTGCTTGGGACATGCCATGATACTTGCGCGGCTTGAAAAACCATCTGCCGCCCAGCGACAGACAAGGGGGACACGAAGTTTGGCTCTAAAGCAGTCGGCGCGATGATCGCCGACTGAACTGTCACAGCCGCATCCCGGAAGTAGTGATAGATCCCCACACCATGCCTGCTTAGTGTCAAGGTGCACCGTAGTTTGTGTGTCATTTCTTGCGAACCCTCCCCAAACAATGCGGGTGTCGGCTTACAAGTTGCAATTTTGCCCCTAAAGTTCATATTGCAAGCATTGGACAACATGACTATTAGTTATACATCATCATGTCAATTACCTTTTTTGACTCTGTCCAAGTTGCGCATCGTGTGAGGTCACCAAGCTGGACACTCGGTACCCGGCGTAGCCCTTGTCACCAAAGGTGGCCTCCAAGCGGAAATCCAGAGAGGTTTCACTGCAAGCAGTTTCATCCTAGGTTGGAGGCCATGGAGGCCATCTCTATCAGGTTGGAGGCCATCGCTATTAGGTTGGAGGCCATTGCTATTACTTTCACTCAACTCTGGCAGCTGAAGGTTGAGGCCCCGGCTTGCGTGACTTCATATGGCATTTCCTGAGCACAAACCACTTGAGGCAGCTGGTGCCGTTTCAGTTGCCTGCACAAAGGAAGAACATATTTCCTTGATTCCTCCCGTCTTTTTGCTCAAGGTGTGTTTGGCCGGCTTTGACTTAACTCCATCTCAAGGGAACCTCTTTTGTGTAAAATGCGTGTGCTATCCCTTGCGTCGCCCGTGCTCCGTCCCGAATCATATAGGCATTTTGCATTGTGAAGGCGCCCTTTAGGATTTCAGTAAAATATAATAAACCCAAGTTAAACACCAACAGCAAGTGAGGCAAAGTGGATGTTTCAGATTCGGCCGCCCTGCCCCACCCTTGAGAGCAGAAAACTCTTTTTTACCAAACTCAGAGGCATGTCAGTGTCAAGTGCCACTGCGTACCTTTCTCTTCGGCAAATTTAGGGGCAAAGCCATTGGGGTGCCCAGATTGGCTGGTACTCGCAAGGACTTCTGCGAACACCAAACCCTTCTACCAACTTCTGCGAAGGCAAACAGGGTTAGCACGAACTTTTGGAGAATTGTGAAAGCTGACGGGGATACTTTGTGGGCTGGAGAATGCATGGACTGACTTAAGGGGACGGAGACACATGACTCGGAACCTGTGCTTGGAACCTCGAAACCTTCACCCGGAACAATTCACTTGGAACCTTTACTTGGAACTTTTTTAGACACTTGATACGGAACCTCAACCTCGGAACCTTCGGAGCCTTCACTCGGAACCTTTACTTGGAACCTCGGGACCCTCACTTGGAACGAGCAGGGCGAGCGCGCGCGAGCTCGTGTGCTATGGACAGCGCGCTCTATGGACAGCGCGCTCTGGAATACGCTCCAAAAAAGCGCGGTCACAGCGGGCTCTGCAGAGAGAAAAACAGAGAAAGAGAAAGAGAGAGAGAGAAAGAGAGAGAGAGAGAGAGAAAGAATGGCTCAAGTTTGGGCTCAAGGGTCTAGGTGGCTCAAGCCGGTGGAGACAAGGAGAAGTACGTCGGCAGTGGCACTTCATCTTTGCGGTGACTTACTTCTCTAGGTACCTCACTGGTGGCCTTGCCATTGCTAGTGATACGAGACTGTTGAGTACCTTGACCAGATCTTCACCAACGAGATGCAGAGTTGGGACGGCTTCAAAGCTGTACGGCCTCGAAGGGCATATCTTGTGTGCCGAGGCTGTGAAGGAAGCTGGATCTGGGCTGATCGTGTGAACGATCAGAGGTGGTGCTGTGATCATTGTGGACAGCAATGGCCTGCTGGCCAGAAGCAACGGGTGTCCCCCAGGCCTTTCAGACAGAGGACACGCCGAGAGAAGGCAAGGAAGATTGATGCACCGCCTGGGTTAGGGCCCAAAGACAGGCAAGTGAAACACCCGGTTGATGACATGCTCAAGAAAAACTGGGCAAGCCTCTCGGATGATGTCAAGAAGGCGCTGCAGACAGTTGGGATTGACTACACCCCACCACCAGAATTGCAGCCTTTAGAAGAGCTCCTCAAAGCGCATTTAGAAGACCTTCCCAAAGAAGTCAAAGATGCAGTGACGAACCTGGTGACCCCAGTGAAGCAAGAGCCGAAGGATGTCACCTCTCAGCTCAAGGTGACGGTTGGAGAACTCCGTCAGCTGTCAAACAAGAAGGCTGGGCTTCAGAGGAAGGTGGACTATGCCAAGGAGCAGTACCGGACCCTTCTGGATGAACTGAAGGTAGTGCAAGAGCTGATTGACAAAGAGCAGCAACAGCTGAGTGCACAGTCTGAGGCCTATGCCAAGATCCTGAAGGAGGAGACTAAGGAAGCACCTGGCCCGGTAGAAGTTGTTGATGAGGATGTGAATGATCACGTCTTGAAGGCTTTAGCCCAGGTTGGCATTCTGTACACTGAGACTCAGAAGTCAGATCTTGAGCGGCAGCTGGCTGAAAGCATGCTCAAACGCCGCAAGAAGACTGAGGCCCCACCGTCGGGGTAACCCCCTCGATTGGCCTTTGAAGGACGCCTGGATGCTCGAAAAGAACAAGCTTGCTGAGCATTTTGATTGGGAGTCAATGCATTCAGGAAGCTTGGGCAGAGCAGCAAAGCAACAGTGGGGTTTCCAAGCACACGACCACCAGTGTTTGAGTGTTTGGGTTTCGTGGGACAACATGTGCCCTTGCAGGGGAGCAAGCCATGTTTGTGAATTTGATAGATGGAGTCAAGTGGCTGGCATTGAGATGTGCGATTGTGCTGTTTCTCAAGGCTGGCAGCCGTACGTTGCATGTGGATCATCTTGGGACAATCCTTATCCAAGTGATCAGGATACACCTCGTCATGTCATCACTTTGGGGGTGGACTCTCTCCTCTCTAGTACATGTGAGCCGGGGCGCAACATGTCGGTGGCTGGAGGGAAGGGAGATGATGGAGATAACGTTCTACATGACACGCAGGTGAACGTGGTTGCAGGTGACACAGATAGACAAGGTGATGATGCACCAGGGTGCGCTGGTGATGATGCATCACAACGGGACAGGACAGTTGCACCAACCGGGGCACTGCCATTGCGGAGCACGGAGCGGCTGGGCTTGCCCAGACCTGCTAAATGCGGGACCCTGGAAGGTGTCAACACATGTCCTGAAGCAGAACTGAGCGACCTAGGCCAGCAGGCCCCGGTGTTGCTTGGTGGAGGAAAAAGAGGAAGAATGGAAGACATCTGGAGAGACGAACCAGGTGTGGAGAGGTATACTAGCCCAGGGAGGCTGCAAAATCGATTGCAAGTGTTACAGGAGAAAGCCAGGGCAGCGATAGATGCCCTGCCGATAGAGTGTCGAGAAGATGTTGAATTTGGTATGGTTGAAACTCGTGTGTGGGGCCTGGAGGCTCTTAAACATGTGTTGAAGATGAGACTGGCGCTGCAGAGCACTTTGCATCTGTGCAGGCCAGTCAAGGAGGTTCCTGAGATGCCTCCCATGGCTGAGCTCCTGGCTGCCAACCTCACGCTCAACCTCCAGAATAATGGCAATAGATGTTTTGCCAATGCGGTGCTGCGCATGTGGTGCTGGCAAGGGGCCCATCATCCCAATCCAGCTGAATTTTGGGGCCCATCGACCAAGTTGTGCATGCAACTCCTCCAACAGGATGACATCCCGGATGTCTTCTGGGCCTCGGAGCTGCAACCAGCTATTGCTAGGCTGGAAAATCCTCAGAGTCAGCATGATGCCTCAGAGTTTCTCATCCTGCTGTGGGAGATGTGGGGACAGACAGGCCTGCAAGGTAACTGGCATTCTCACTTTGGAGGCCGCTGGCATGAATATGACACGATTCCTTTGTACATCAGGATGCCAGTTGAAATGGGCGACGAAGTCCACTTTGAGCACCTGCTGCAGGAATGGGCCAGAGAAGGCAATGGACAGTGCCTTGGAGTTGATGTTGAACACATTGTCTTCCATGTGGGCAGGTACTCACTGTGTACGCAGACTCGTACTTGGGTGAAGCACCACCATATTCTGCATACACCGTCCACCTTCAGTTGCCCTCAGCGAATGGAGTCTGGACACACAGGACAGTCCACTTTTGTCCTGCGTGGCATCATTGCACATCAGGGGCCACAGATGATTAGTGGGCACTATGTCACGCTGCTGGTGGAAGGTGAAGCCTGTTGGATTGCAGATGATGGCCAGTGCCCTGAAGTGTGCAAGGAGATTCCTGAGAAATTCAAACGGGAGGCAGTGATGATCTGGGCTTCTAGGGCAGAACAATCCAATTTCTGGTCCACGACCATTGGCAATTTTGAGCCACCGTTGAAGAAAGCAAGGCATCCCAACCAGGAGATTGAAATCCTATATGCCAACATCACCCAGTGGACCAAGGAATCCAAGGAGTGGCTGATTCAACAACCTCACTCCGTTGTCATGATGGTTGAGACCCATTTGAATCATAGCAAAATGGATGGGGCCCACAATGAGCTGTGCCGACATAGATGGCAGCCTACTTTCCTGGCGGCCCATGACACGGGCAGGGGAGGCAACAGTGGTGGTCAGCTTTTTGGCCTGCGAGAAGGGCAATCAGGATACCTTTTGCATAGTTATGACCTCGATGGCAATGGTTTCCTGGCCAATGTTCTGCAGAGACAACAGTGGGAGCTTGCCCTTATCTCTGTCTATTTGAAGACAGGCGAAGACCTCAACTCCAAGGCAAATTCCACTGTCCTGGGCGAGCTTGCAGCTTTTGTACAACAGCTGGCCATCCCATGGATAGTTGTGGGAGATTTCCAAGTGCCGCCTGAGCAATGGATGGGTCACAATTTGCTCAATGTTTTGAAGGCAGAGGTGGTGTGTTGTGGCCAACCGACCTTGATAAATGGAGCAGAGTTGGACTATCTGCTGGCCTGCCGAACAGTGGCTCCTTTCCTGGACCTCAAGGTGACATGGGATGTTCCTTGGAAACCACATGCGGGCCTCATCATCACAGTTGACCAAGATGCACCCCGACTGGTCTTCCCACAGTTGACACAGTACCCATCCGTGCCCAAATTGGAGGAGCAGGGCAAAGAGTGGTCAGATTTCTCTCCCTCTCCTAAACCATTCTGGTTGGGGCGGCCAATTGGGCCAAAAGAGATTCAATATGCTGAGTGGTGTCATCAAGCTGAGCAGTATGTCCTCCAGCGGCTTCATGAACCACGGCAGGGTCGGGGGTGGTACCTGGCCTTGGAGCAAAAGCCGCTCCCAGTGTCAAAGCCTTTGGCACCTTGGAAAAAAGGTGACCTTGCGTACTGGGGCCAATTCACATCCCTGCTCCATCATGTGGCCAGCAAGCCTTGCATGTCTGCGGGCTCGATGGATCATCTCAGGGCAAAGACGGCTGATCTGCATGTGCGCTGGCAAAATGTCCATGGTTTGGAAGATTTCCAAGGAGGCCTTGAGTCATTGATTGCTGGGGACAGAGCCCCTTTGACGCTGCTCATCAAAGGAGCTGAATGCAACAAGGACTATGCCAAAAAGTTGGCCATGGAGCAGCAAGCACATGACTATCAGCAATGGCTATC